TCTCAAATTGAGAGTTGTAAGTGTTAAGATAATCAAAGATATGATGAAGAATTTCGACTGGAAAATCGAGAAGACACATACTCGACATTGGTATTGATGAAATAATTTTTTCAAAACTGAATGAGAATGATTCAAAAAAAAATAAACCTCGTGGATTGCCTTTTTTTTCTTGTTATTCTTCGATATGTTATTATAAGAAACGATGAAAGATTGAGTAACTCAACTATATGAGTCATCATGTCAACTCTGAAGCATTTTTTTTCTAGTTGAGCAAAAAAATTATTTATTTTCTTTTAAAAATAAAATTATTATACACTGAGCTAATAATAAATATTATATTCCGATCTATTCTAATCAAAGTATATTATCAAGTACAAAATGTTACAGATTAATGATCGCTGAATAAAATCATTTTCTTCGTTCTTTTATAATAATTTGGTAGCATGTGCAAACATTAAAGATAGCTATTGAATTACATTCACAATAAACTATTATCTATCATTATTTACATATGTTACTTTTATTTTTCTACAGCGCTGTTCTGTCCTGTAAAGATAGAAACATAAATATCTATCATTATCTGCATATGTTACTAGCATTCTTCTCTCAGTGCTTATTTTTCTTTTAAACTTTTGGCGTGGCCATGATGACAACAATATCCTCTTTACAAAAATTCTTCAGATTTGATAATGGAACAGCACATAGTGCAACTATTGAACAACGACGAACTCAACCACCTTCTGAGTTTTTGGCATTTATCCATATTATTAAATCAGAACTTCATAAATCTCGAAGTGATGGAAAGAGCTTTATTGCCGATCTTAAAGCATTAAATACTGGTACTATAACAGATGCTATAGTGTTATGTGAATTCTCAACAAACATCATGCTTGGAAATCCAATTGATGACAGTCTTTTAGAGATGGAAAAGATCATTACAATGCTTTATACTCTACCAAGTAATAGTCATTTTGGTGCAATCACAACTAAAATGTTTATTGGTAGTCTCTGGAAGATGCTTCCACATCCACCTGAAAATTTTGAAAATCAAGTCGGTTATCAATGGAGATTTGCTGATGGTTCTAATAATAATCTTGCTTTTCCTAATATTGGTAAAACTGGTCAGAAATATATTCAAAGTTGCTTGCCTAAACGTCCTCAACCAGATGTTCTTCCTGATCCAGGTCTTATTTTCGATGAGCTGTTGAAACGTTGTCCAGACAAGAATGGTAAATTCAAAGGAAATGAATCTCATGTTTCAAGCAATCTCTTCTATTTCGCAACACTTATCACACATGATATATTTAATACAGATGGGGCAGATAGATCCATCAATGCAACAACAAGCTATTTAGATTTAAGTCCACTTTATGGTAGTACACAGCAGGTACAAGATTCTATTCGAACTGGAGAAAAAGGTCTTATCAAACCGGATCACTTTGCAGATACTCGATTTTGGCTTCAACCTGCTGGTGTAACAGCTTTACTTGTTCTTTTCAGTCGAAATCACAATTATCTAGCAGAACAACTTCTTCAAATAGATGAACATGGTCGTTTTAGTTCTCTTCAAGATAAAGAACGAGATGAAGCACTTTTTCAAACTGCAAGACTTATCAATCAACGAACATATATAAATATTGTTCTGCATGATTATGTACGTGTTATTCTTGGTGTTAATCGAACGAAAAGTTCATGGGCTTTGGATATTTTACAAGACTATTCAGATGTTAGTTCTGGAGGTGACATACCCAAAGCAACTGGAAATCAATGTTCAATTGAATTTAACTTTTTATATCGATGGCATCATGCAACAAGTGTTGAAGATGAAATATGGATTGAGAATGAAATGTCTAGACTTATTGGTGATTGGAAAGATATGGATATGAAAACAATGTTTCAAAAGATAGGAGGACTCACACAAGATCAAAAACAAAATCCTCAACTTATGCGTGGTACAAATGGACGTTTTGAAGATAAGGCTCTTGCAAAAGCACTTATTGATGGTTGTAAGAATGTTTCTGGTGCTTTCGGTGGTCAAAATACTCCTGCTATTTTTCGTAACATTGAAATCAGTGGTATTTTACAAGGCAGACGTTTGGGTCTTTGTACTTTAAATGAATATCGTTCTTATTTGAAGTTGAAAAAGTATCAATCATTTCATGAATTAAATCCAATGTTATCTGAACAGCTGGCAAAACTCTACAATACAATAGACGATGTTGAATTATATCCTGGTTTACTCTGTGAACGAAAAAAGCCTGCTATTGGTGGAAGTGGACTTTGTGCAAATTATACTACTTCATTTGCTATATTGGCTGATGCAGTAGCACTTGTTCGAGGTGATCGATTTTATTCTAAAGATGCAACATATTATAATCTAACTAAATTCGGCATGGAAGATAGTCAAGTTATTGATACAGTTGATTTTGGTACTCTTATTGGAAGAAAATTAATTTTACGACATTTGAACGGTGTCTACAGTCAAAATAATGTTTATGCAATCTTTCCATTTACAATACCAGATGAGACACAAAAGCACTTGGGTGAAACACGAACAAATTATGATTTTACTCTACCACTTTGAAAAACTCTCTTCTAATATAATGACTTTATCTACATATAATACAGACTATTTATTTTTTTTTGAAAGGTGAGAGATGGGGTGTAGGTTATGATTAAGAATTTTGAAATATTTATACATAATAAAATTAAAGTCACTTTTTTTCTATATGCTAAACTAAATAATTATTTTCATTATAGAAATTACTAATGATATTCATAGACAATGAATTTCTATTCTCTTCCTCTCTATTTACTGTTGAATAATTAGTTTCCACTGTCTGTTAAATCTTGAGGGTGTGGGTGTGGCGTAAGGATAAGGGTTTTGATTCATAAAAGAAACACCAAGGCACTCACTCATCCTCAACTACAGCCCACACTGACTCTTTTTCTCACTTTCATACTCACCACCCACATACTTCAAGAGATAACCAGTTATCTGCTTAAAAAAACTATTCTACATGTTTATTGTCTTTATTCTATATATAAATATATATACATTAATTTCCTCACTGCCGCCTATTTGAGTAAGAAAAGATCAATATTTGTTTCTTTTTGTCTAACATTTTCTCGCATTCATTAATTGTCAATTCATCAGGTCATTGTTGTGTGAAAATATTTGTCAAATGGCGTGTTTTTTCCCATAACTTATAATATCAACTTTCGATAAAGATATACACGATGTCGATCAATCATTAGATATCTACTTCATAAATGTTTCAATATATTTCTCAAAAAAAAACTGAAAAAAATAAACTTGATAGACAAAATAATTCTTTTTGTTTAACTAAAAAACGTCTTAGAGAAATTGCATTTTTTATTTTTTTGTATCTGAGCATTTTTGTTGTTGTATATCAAATAAACGAATGTATTGGTGCACTTGTTGTTATTGATCTGTGGTATTCCCGTATTCAATAATTCGACAGAAAATATTGTCTTACTGATCCAGTTTCAAGTTCAACAATTAATTTGGCAGCTGTTAAACTTTCGGCACAATTTGAGTTGAAAATTTTTTGGGAGTTAGTAAATTTCTCGTTAAATTAGTTTTTGACGAAATCAAAAGCTACGCTGATAGATTTTATGTAACCGGACTTGTAAGAAACTAAATTTGAAAAATTAAGCTTAAAATTAACTGAGAAATATAAAGAGCTTTACCTGAGTCTCCGCGAAGTATACCATATAATTTGATAACAGTGTAATCATGATTATCTTTGCCAAATAATTTACTGTCAGAAGACCTTTATTTAACACAATTCATGAAATACTGCATCAGGAGTTATCGACCTGGGTGAATCAAGATCATTTCATAATCAGAAAGATCGAAAATTCCAGATTGAGCTAAAATAGATGAAATAAAAATTTATTTTTAATAAGTAAAAAAGAAAATTCATATAAACCTCGAGACCATCGTTATGACCCCAATATTTTATTTTGTTTCATCATATTGTTTTTCAAGCTTTTGAATTGTATCAATAATATCACGACAATGTTCAGCTATGTCAAGGCTGGAGTTTAGACCAAGAACTGAGGGTAGATATGTATCTAAATCAATAATAAATACTCGTACAATCAATTCAATGTCAAAAGCTAGAGTATGGGTGTGAGTTAAATAATCTATTCAACCACATCCACATCCTCAAGAAAAATCGAACGAATAATATCGTTCGTATCGGCAAAAAAACTGCGAACCTGTTACTTTAATTCAAAACACGCAAAGTTGTCCGGTGGTTTTATTTCTTTGGCCGGGACAAAGGCCGTTAAAGTGAAAGGAGTAACAGCATGTTAACTCTTTGTACGGTTGATGCCTTAAATTGTTTTACCATAATGAATTGTAGAAATAATAGAAAGAAAAAAATGAGCAGGAAAGAAGAGAAAAAGAATGGCTAGTCCTTAGCCTGCAAAATAATCAAGTGAAAGTACATCGACATCTTACAAGATTAAATTGTGAAAGTGTGAATGTAAGATTATTATTTATCTATATCTTCATTGTTTTTATTTGTTGTGTCTTTTGATGATTAATAAACTATGAATGCACTTTTTCTTGATTTTTCTTTCTCCAGATGTTTCTTTTTGCGGACTACGCAATAAATGTTATTAAAAATAGCGAAGGCAGAGCAGATCACATATGAAATATAATATTCTACCTAAGAATAAACTCTATCAAATGATGTTCAAAAAGAGAAAACAAAATTTTACTTGCATTTTGCACTGCGAGCACATTACGCAAATTAATAGCAGATGGTAGCTATCCGTCTGTATATTTAGTTCCAGGACAAAGCAGAAAACACGGGAATATTATGCATAGAACGAAAGAAAAAATTATTTTATTTCATATTTGCTATATACTCTATTAGAAAAACATTCTAGATAAGTGCTGTTGAGAAAAAAAAAATAATCAAATAATTTGAACTTTTAATTTTGCACTCATTTGATATTTTTCAATGATGCTGTTCATCACTTATTTATTGTATTTCATTCTATTCTATGAAATAAATGGATTACCACAAATCAATCTGGATCTCACCGATTGGACAAGTAATATTGAAAGTAATAGTAGTCTACAACATGATTGTCTTCATGTTGCTGCTTGGATTGAAGATGAAGAAACTGATCCATATCAAATTATTTCATATTGTATGAGTGAATGGCCATCACAATGGAATATCGAAAAAAATAACCAAGATCAATATTTTACATTTGCTCAACTTTATCAACGAAATATTACTAGTGAACAGTTATATCTTTGGTCAACACCATTAGATATCATTGAATATTATGAATTATATTTAAATCAACTATTAGTTTCAAATACATCAGTAGTAATGGCAATAAATGGATTTTATAATTGTACACTACCTCGATTCGGTCTCTTATGTCAATATTCATTAGAAATGTATCAATCTGATAATTTAACATTAAATGAAATGATTCATAAATATTATTTACATGAATATCAACCAACAACACTGACATGTTACATTCATTTAGAATGTGATCGTGGTTCTATATTATTATGTCTTGATTGGAGTGAAATATGTGATGGTATTGTTGATTGTCGAAATGGGATTGATGAAGAAGCTTGTTGGCAATTAAATATCAATCAATGTGAAGATAATGAATATCGATGTCGAAATGAACAATGTATACAGAAGACATTTGTTAACGATAATCCTAATGTTTTTGAATGTCTTGATCGATCAGATGAGAGCCTTCCTTCTTTATATACTTATAGAAATATGAGCAGTGAACCAACATTTTCATTAGAAGATGTAACATGTTCTGACCGTAATATGCAATTCCGAATCAAGATGACAAGTTCATGTGTTCTACAACGTACAGACTTAATAGAAAAATTAATGTTCACTGACAAACCACAAAACGTATCGGATGATTGTTGGTTAGCTATTCATTGTCACTGGAATATACAAAAATTATCAGATTTAATATGTGAAAATATTTCTTTCAATCGAACATTTACAGAAATAATTGATCAAACATGTCCTGATATGATTTATATACCATCGACTCCAGTCCTATTCGGACATATATATTTTTTATATACAAAAGAAGATATGTTGAAACCTGGTCTACTTCATGTTATACCAAAACCTGGATATCTCTGCTACAATGATCAACTTTGTAGTGGATTCTATTTCGATCGAGCATTATTAACATTCAATAATGCAACATGTCGTCGTCCTGAAGATTTTCCAGTAAAACTTGATTCGTTTCTGTTCAGTCGAGCAGCGTGGAATGGTAGGTATGTTTTACCTTCATTTACACAGCTTCGTCAATGTAACACAGTGAATTATAATGAACCTTTAAATTGTAACACATTAAATATGTATAAATGTCTTAACTCTTCAAAATGTATTTCCAAGAATATTCGTTGTAATAAAATCAACGATTGTGATTACAAAGATGATGAACAATGTTCTTCAATTGATCGTTCGTGTTTGAATTCTACATTAAATCATCTAATACAATGTACTACACAAGATCGTTGTATTTCTTCAACATTAATTGACAATGGAATATGTGATTGTGGATTTAATGAATATGGTTTATGTGATGAAGAAGACGCATCTAAACATAACATCAGAAAACATATTTCATTTCCAACGATTTGTGATGGATTTATTGAACTAATACGAGTTGAAATTGACGAACGAAATGAAACTGATGAGACTGAATGTGAACATTGGATATGTAATAATACATATACGCGATGTGATGGATTTTGGAATTGTTTAAACGGTGCCGATGAAGTAGATTGTGATCCATCACCAGCATTAACATGTCCACTTGATCACCATATATGTGTCTCACCTGAAACATATCAGCTGATGTGTTTACCACTTAAACAAGCTAATGATAGTAATATAGATTGTCTTGGTGGTACTGATGAACCTCAGCTATGTCGATTGGATGATTATTTATACAACGATGATACTATTTATTGTAGAAAAGATGAAAAGAATCAGTGTATTATGTTCAGTCAGTTTTGTGATGATTCAGTATGTAACGAAGCTAATTATGAATTTTGTGAGAAAACTTGGAACTATACTTGGTCTGATGATATATGTTCTAATGAATTTGATACTACTCGTTCTGATATGGACAATTTTTTTTGTCAACGTAAAAGCGATAGGAAGAAATTACCTGTGAAAAACTTTTCACTGGGCAGAATGAACAATTTCGTAAAAAAAAATACAACAATCATAAAACTACCCTTACCTGTTACTCAAGAAATCATTCGTCAACAACAACGTTGTCATCGTGGTTTACTTGTACGAGTTTGGCTAGATTATGTAAAAAACTTAACTACTGAAACATGTTTATGTCCACCTAGTTTTTATGGAAATATGTGTCAATATCAAAATCAACGGATTAGTCTTACTTTACGATTTCAAACATATGCTGATTCTCGACGAATTCTATTTGCTATTGTGGTCTTACTGATCGATAATAGTGATGATCGATTGATTTATTCACATCAACAATTTAGTTATTTATATATTCGAGATTGTCAAATTAAATTCAATATGTATTTAGTCTATTCAACTCGACCAAAAGATGAAAATAAAAATTATTCCATTCATATCGATGTGTATGAAAAGATTTCTCTCGCATATCGAAGAAGTTTCTTAATACCAATTCAATTTTCATTTCTACCTGTACATCGTCTCGCTGTACAACTGAATATTCCACGTACAACCGATACAATCGAACGTTGTGTAAATCAACATTGTATTTATGGCCAATGTATGAAATATTCAGATCATCGAAATGGTACTACATTTTGTCAATGTAATCAAGGCTGGTCTGGGCGATATTGTAACATTACACATCATTGTACATGTTCACATGATTCATTATGCATTGGTATTTTACCAAACAATCGATCTTTATGTGTTTGCCCTTTTAATAAATGGGGTTCTCAATGTTTATTTCAAAGCCGAGCATGTAATTTAGATCAAAACCTAACATGTCTGAATGGTGGTGAATGCGTGCCAACTGATGAACATGTTGTATCTAATAAAAAATTCAAATGTATCTGTCAAAAAGGTTTTAGTGGAGTAAGATGTGAAATAATTAATAATGAAATTAATCTATCATTTCATGAAAATATTAAATTATCTCAATCAATACTTGTTCATTTTATTGAAGTATTTGATGATGCTGCTCCAATCAATGGTAGTACATTTCAAATGATCCCTGTTAATAAAAGAACAGTGACACTTTATTGGCCATATCCATTTCATATTGCGTTTGCTGAACTTGATAATAAAAATTATTATATAATCCTGGTTCAAAATATGTATCATCGATCAAGAAAAATTAATCAAGAAATTCAATCAAAAGATCGTTGTCGACATATCAATGAAATATTTAAACAAACTCTTGTTCAATATCATCCTCTTCGTCGTATTAAACATTATCACGAACCATGTAACATGTCTTCATTCAATCTTTCTTGTTTTTATGATGATAATCTTTTCTGTTTATGTAATTATTTTGGACAACAACGTATAGCCAATTGTTTTGAATTTGATTCGAAGAAAAAGTTCGATTGTTTTGGTCAAAGTAATTGTCAGAATGAAGCAAAATGTTTACAGGATAGATCTCAATGTCCACAAACATCAATATGTGTTTGTCGTCCATGTTTTTACGGGGCATTATGTCAATTTAGTGCACATGGATTTGGTCTTTCTCTTGATGATATTTTAGGTTATCAAATTCAACCACATATCACAATTAACAATCAACCATTTGTTATACAATTAAGTATAATATTAACAATGATTATAACAATTATTGGATTAATTAATAGTATTCTATCATTTATAACATTTAATAATAATGAAATATGTCAAACTGGTTGTGGAATTTACTTACTAAATATATCAATTATTACTCTATTTACAATGATATTATTTGCATTAAAATTTTGGATACTTCTTATTGCACAAATGACATATATTACAAATGATTTATTTTTAAAAATACAATGTATTTCAATAGATTTTTTATTACAAATTGGTATTAATATGAATCGATGGTTATCAACATGTGTAGCTATTGAACGAGTAATTTGTGTAATTAAAGGAACTAATTTTGATAAGAATAAAAGTAAAAAACTGGCTAAATTTATTATTATTCTTCTTTTTATTTTTAATATTTCAACAAATCTTCATGATCCGATTCATCGACATTTGATAGAAGATAATGATAATGAAAAAAGAATTTGGTGTATTATTACTTATTCATCAACATTAAGAACATATAATACAATAATGAATCTATGTCATTTCTTCATTCCATTTATTATTAATTTAATTTCTGGTCCATTTATTATTCTAGTAACAGCTCGACAACGAAAAATTATTCGAATTCAAGAAAGTTATCGAAATATATTAAATAAACAGATTCAAGAACATAAACATCTATTGATATCTTCAATTAGTTTAATTCTATTGGCTATACCACATTTAATCATTTCTTTTGTATCAGGTTGTATGAATTCAATCAGCAAACCTTTGCTATTTTTAATTGGATATTTTATTTCATTCATTCCATCGATATTAACTTTTCTTGTCTTTGTTACTCCATCAACATCATATAAACAACAATTTTTAAAGACATATGAACGATATAAACGAACGATACAAAGACGATTACATCTTGTTTTATAAAATATTTTCTTATTATTTTTTTCCTTCTAATAATGAAATAAATAAATATAACATTCATCAACATCAAATTTTAAGAATGAGATCAAGCAAACCATTAACTAGACACATCAGTTATGATTTAATAAGAAATACCACATGATATTCTGCCATGAAGATGAATAAAAGAGCAGTCATGATTGCGACTTGAACGTTCATTCTCTTGGCACTTATTGATATAAAATACGATTTTTTTACAGTTTAAGACTTAGGGTGTGGATGTGAGCGTTGATATAATTTTCATATATACCAGATATTCAGACCTACGCTCACACCCGCACCAACACCCACCCTCAAGAATTACTTTAGTTAACAAAAAGATCGACGTTTGATCATGAATAGCTTGATGGAATTGGTTGCCAGTTCGTAATAAAAGAGTAATAAGGATGACTTAGATCATTGATGTTTTCCTTGATGGTGATAGTTACTCCAAGTTGAGCAAAAAACGTTGATGATCGGAATTTCTGAATAATTTCTTCATTTGTTGGAGTGTAAATCGCACTGCTCATCAACTCGAGAGTAAAACGTTTTAGTTTATTGTTCGAAGCAAAGACACGTGCCCACCAGTCCGCGTCGAGTGGTCTTTTTCCAAGTCTTGTGTATTGAAAGTCAAAAGTGAATGTACTGAGATGAGGACAGTGTGACAAGAGCAGCTCGAGAAATATCAGACTAAACTCAGTTCTGTTGAAAACCTTTCCTGATAAGTGAAGTATCTTCATGTTTGGAAGATTCCTGTGAATGTTAGTGGCCAACTGAATGGACGAGAGCGCTGTTTCATCATCTGTGATGTCACTGTAGAGCTTAGCTGAAAAAGATCGGAGTTGATGACAGGTATCGAGAATTCGAATAGCCAAAAGAAAGTCAAGACTGTAGGCATTGACCTCAGAACGAGATGGAAAATTAAACATGCGCACATCGGCCGGTATCGTTGACGCGGGTCCTCGTCTATTTCCACTAAGATACAGGCGCCGAAGAAGTGGACAAGATTGACGAAAAAGACTCAAAGCGAGTTCGTCGATGAGATGTGGCCGCCAACATTGAGTTTTGATATAGATTGAAGTCAGAGTCGAGAATAATGGCAGATCTTTGGCGAAAATTAATGACGCTCCGTTGGTTTCGTCATATGTTAAGGTCAGATGTTGGACTTGGGCAAATTGATCTAGAGGAAACTCCTAAAGATGGCAACATGTTTTCATATTGAAGGTGAGAAAAAGACAAACCGCAACATACCATGAAAAATATACAGATGGAATTGGACTAAGTGATTAAAGAAGAGGAATACAATGAAAGAGCCTTGACAGATCGAAGAAGTTGATTGAACCGTTTGTTGATTCCATAAAATGCCAAAAAAGATTGATCCAATTCAAATAATCGAATACTTCAAGCAATAGCTCATTGGCTAGATCTTCAATACGGGATGGGACTTGAGGAGACATTTCTGTATTATTCGCGTCCTCGACTATAGTCGTCACTTGCAGATTTTCTTCAACGTACCCACTTGCGGTTGCGAAAATTCCAGCGGACGATCGGAGAGAGTGCATGCAATTCTGAAACAAGGTTAGATCATACAAAGTTCTTCTGGTAAGACAATAGAAATCTAATCAAAAACTTTTTGACACACCTACAGCTCCATGCCTTGTTATTTTTGTTTCACTCTGTCGGGGACAGTTAACAACTAGGAACTGTATTCAAGATGGGAAAAAGGGGTACTAGTTGGCATTATTTACAGCTGATATACTATTGATTTGTTTCCATATATTAGAAACATGCTTAATTTTACTCTCGCTTGCTTGCAAAAAAACGAAAAAAATGTATACTCCTTTGTATCTCAACGACAGCTGCGAACTGTTTGTCTGACGAAGGCGGCAGAAAGAAAAGCAACGATGCGTCATTAATTATTATATTAAGAATATTTATTCCATCAACCAAACATACTAGAAAAGGATTCTAAGACGAAAGTATAGGTCCTCTAAATAGTAGGGTGAGAGTGTTCCATGTTCTCAAAATCACCAAAACTGTCGATTTTTACTTAACTTTTATCGAAAAACTAAGCTGAATTGAAAATCATTGGTACTTGATTGAAAAGACACTCGTTTGAAATCAAATTTCGTCATATGTGTTGCTCGAAAAAAACGGGTGAAAAAAAAACCAAATAATACAAGTATTCGATAGCAACAGAACGGGCGACGCCACGAAAACATTGAAACACGTGTGCAGAATGGTTGATTTCAAGCAGCTGCCTCGATTTTGTCGATACAGTCACACGATTCATCGAACTGCTACATCGCTATTTATGAGGGTGTGGGTGGCAGAGTAAGGTTAATGTAATACCTACACCCACCTCAAGAATTTTTCAAATTATTTTCTTTTGTTTTTATCCAATTTTAATAAAAATAGAATATACATGTACACAAAATATATCATTTAATGATGTTGAAAATCGTTTATCAAAACGTCTTTATATCGATCTATTTCATTATTATATTGTGCTGATGAATTAAATACAGCACCTTGTCTTTTTTTAAAAGAACACGGAGATTTATATGATGATGATTCAATATATTATCTTTGTTTGGGTATTCAACATTATTTACGTGAAAATCGTTTATTATCATCTCAAACAACAGATCATTTAAATGGAAGACATTTTTATCGGACAGAATCATTATGGGAAGCGAAACAAATTAGGTGCACATACACTATGGGTTTTATTAAATACAATTTTATACCTTTAGACAAAATATTTTTTTCTTAAAACTGTTAATGAACATCAAATTTTGTCGTTTTCAAATGTTAGACGACATCATAAAAGAAATGTTGGACCACATAGAGAAGAACATGGAAAATCGTTTTATTTAAGATTACTTAAAATTATGCTAAAGAAATCAGGCATCATTCCAAAAGTTAAAGCTTAGTTCTAATTTGACATTATCAGTCTTGGTTTGCCCTTCCGAAATTGTTGCGCCTTTTACTATGCGTTTAATTTGTTTATTTGAATAGACATTATCCACCTACAACAACAATCCATGGTATGGAAGAACAAAAATTAATCTATGAAACAAGCTGAAAATTATGATGATTCACTTCGTTGTCCAGTAAAATTATTCAATGTTTTTGAATCACCACTTTGATATTCATCACAACCATTCCTGCATCAACAATGGATCATATGTTAACGAGAATAAAAACTGAACGAGATGTTAATGATATTCATTTATCAATGAGTCAAACATCATTCGATAATAATAATCAAGGACGATCATAAAAAAAAATGTCCTGATTTTCTCTCTTTTTTTCCTTTTCTTCATTGTATTATACTATTTGTTTGTCTTCGTCTCCCGTTATTAGTTTGTAAACAACACAAAATTAGATATTGAATGTAACATGTCTTGAACTTTTGTTTTTTACATAGAGAAAAAATATTTGTTTGTTTATTGTTAAAAAAACGACAACATTTGATTTGTCATTTTGGTTTTTGTCTCACTTAATTTTGTTGATCAGAAAAAGAAATAGATTATATCTATATTAATCCTCATTTATCTCATTGATTAATAGAAGTCTGATCAGATTTTAATGGAATATGAATCATTTTTCCAGCAGGTACAATACAAAAATGTTAATATTTGAAAGAACATAATTGATTAATATTTTCTAAATGTCTTGGTAATTCTCTCACGCTATACCAACAAGGTGAAAGTATTTCAGGTCGAATTGAAATTGATTGTTTATGTGTTGATTTTTCTATATGTAAATATCGTAGATTAATTAATTTTGATAGATCTAAATCATCATTAGAAAATATTGATAAACGTAATGAAACAATTTGATTGACAAAATTTGAAAAAGATTTCATATGAAACATATCTTTTGAAGGTATATCGATATAAAAATGAGCAGAATTTATAATTTCATTTATTCGACGATTATTAAGAAAATAAAAAGCTGAATAAATATCAATTAAACATATATAATTTTTCAAATAAATCTAATAATATTTCATTTGGTAATTGTTCGAAAATATCCAATTAATTTGATGTATAGACACAAGAAAAAAACCTAGTCTATAACGTACGATCTTCACTTGTTTTATTTTATCAAGGATGTTTATCATATGTTCTGTTTTCTTTTCTTTTTATCTAAAAAAAATAGGAAAGAATAAGCATATAGTTTTTATAATCGAATGATGAATAAATAGGCTTTTGCTCTGATTATTTTCTTGATATATTATGTTTATTGTTTCACAAATACTAAAATTACATTTACAATTAAACAGTAAGCGTTTCAAAAGTATAACAAATACAGACGTGGACGATTTAATAATGTCTAAGATGAAATAGAATTTGTACAAGATTTTGGTTCAAATGAAAAAAGAATATATTTTAAACTGCTTACTGTTGCATAATAATTTTATGAGCAGATGAATGTCGAAATATTATTAAAAAAAAGATATAATGAATCTGTTTATTTCATGAGTTTAAATCTCTGCTAGTTATTCAGATTCACGTGATTTTTTCACTAATATTTGTCACTTTCACATGCATAAAACACATATCTTTCAAAGAATTTATATCAACACGCCATGAATGATAGATGTGGTAATATCAAGAGAAATGGCTTTATTAACACGAATGGAAATCGTAAGATATTATAAATGAAAGATCCCAAATATAATCTTAAAATCAAATTTTAATAAAGAAAAAGTAGATCAATATACAACTATGCACATATATTATAACAAAACTATCAGGTAAATCTTCGCTATCAATTTTTTCTCTTTCGTTAAAATGCATAATTGTATAGCAAAACAGATCAGTTAAATAGCGATATTTTGTTTCACGCATCTACTTTCATATTACATCATATGCTAATATATTTGTAGATTTACTGTTGTTATTATTTTTAGATATATTCATCTATACCGTTCATGAACTTACTTTAAAGCCTTTCTGTTAGTGAAATATTTTAATGATCGTCTGCATTCTAAATCCAATAAATACTATTAAGACAATTGAATATTATGAGTAACTACACTGCAAAAACAAAGAGAACATTTGAAAGGATAACTAAAATTATCGTATCAATTGTAACTTTTGTTAATCATAATAAATTAATATATAAGAGCAGAAAAACAAAGATATTTATTATTATTTGAGATGGAGTATAAAAGTATGTGATAATTCAGTTAAAATATAGAAAGAAACAATTCGCGAATACCATAAAATAAGAATTCTCCTGATTAAAGTATTGTTTGGAATTTGCATTACTTGCAAAGAAAAGAATAAGATAAGTGAAAGTTAATTTGTTCCAAATAATTAATATAACTCTGCACTATTTAAAAAAGTAGTATTATCAACTCCACCAGTAACTAATACTTTTCCATTTGATAACACAGATGCTGTGTGACCACCTCGTGCATTATTCA